TTAGCTTTGTATCATTTCTAGGATAGTGATTTCACAACTAAGGATTTTATGGTATTATTTTTGTTTGAGGTTGAGGTTGACAAAATATACTACTTCGTTTCCTAAAATTTTAGAAGTCAAGGTATCTGACCTTTTTGGTGTTCGAACACTTAGCTCAGGCCTGACTGAATTACTGTTCGTCTGGACTTTCCAGTAAATCTCACTTTTTAGAAAAGAGTTTGTAACCTTCTGAAATCAGCTTAGATGAAGCCTGGCTTGAAAACAGGTCGCATATCACAATTTTATCTTCTGCAAGAGAGTTTAAGTTTGAACAACTGTATTCTCTCTTCAAATTCTCTATATTCTTACAGTAGGTTGTTGACATGCAATTTTACTAAATTCCGTAGTTCCGAGCATTTCATTAGACATAGCTGCATTTTATGTGGGTAGTGGGAAATTTAGGAAAACTACTGAATGTTAAACCATTAGTTTCCATGACTTTGTTCTTTGTGACTTTGGTAAAGATTTGTAGCTCGTAGAGTTTTGCAATCCCATTTGTTAGGTGTGGAAATATTCTAGCGTTTATTAAAATAATATCTATGTAATCTCAAAATATTCTCATTTACTTAAAATTGTATAATGTTATGGACAGTTTTAAGCATATCCCACAGTGAACAAAGTAATGAACCCCCATCTGCCAGCCACAAACCTAAAGGATTATCAACTCATGGCCAATTCTGCTTTACCCACTTTCCTACTACCCTCAACACTAGACTCAGCTGAAGTAATTCTCAGACAGTGTGTCATTTAATTGGCAAGTATTTTAGTATAATTCTCCAAGATATGAGGACTTAGAAAACACAACCACAGTAGCTTTAACACACATGATTTCTATCAACATAATTCCTTCATTTCATCAAATGTCCAGATTTTACATTAGTTAACTCGTAAATCTTATACTTAATTAAGGATCTACATAATGCTCATATATTTAACTGACTTCTCTATCTCTTAGATCTCTTTGAATCTGTAGGCTACCTGCCTTCTGTATTTTACCCTTGCATTTGAAGAGATCGGGCCATTCGTCCTGTATGGTTTCCCATGTGCTGGATTTTGCAGAGAGCATCCTCATGGTTTATTACATCATGTTCCTCTGTCCTCGGTCCCTATTATCTAGTAGTTAGCTCGGGAAACTTCGTTCTATTCAGCTTTTCTCTCTTCCTTCCCTCCATCCTCACCCTTCTTTCTTTCTTGGCAAGAACACCAATAAGCATCTTGTGTGTGTCTCTTGTTGCAACGTTAGCAGTCACCAATACTCCTGCCTTGATTCCGTACTTATCGGGAGTGGCAGAATGGAGCTGCTCTAATTCTGCCTTCCGTTCCTTAGTTATTTGTAGTGGGACCGTCCCAAGTGACCTGTGTCATGGCTTAGGGAGGATGGGCATCTTTAGACACCAAGCCCTTCTGTCTAAGTGCGTGACTTTCAGGAGCCCTCTCCACTACGCAGTTCCTCACTTAGGCTATCTACTTCATTTTGACCAAGTCAGTCCATCTTCACTCCCACCATGCCTCTGACATGCTATTTTTAAACTCTATAGGAGTTACTGGTTTTGCGTGCTCACGCCACAACTAGCTTCCCTCTCAAGTCCTCTTGTTGTTTGCCATGACGTTGCATCACTCTTCTCGATTTTCCAAATACATCATCACATCTGGATCTAGAAATATTTTTACCTCTCTCTCCCACTTTCTAATGCCTCCAATTGCTTTCTCCTTTCTGGCATCATGGGCAGTGTGATGTGTAAGGGATAACCCTGTCTTGTTCACGGTCTTTCTGCTTCTTGAGCATTACAAACTTAGAATTCACTGCCTGCCTGATGCCGGAGTGACAGCTGCAGAGGCTTCTCCCTCCATGCATTAGGAGATATTTTTACAGAGCTAGAGATAAACTTTATGTGATGAAGGAAATAGGGTTCATACAATGCAGGTATTACATAACAGAGAGTAAGCTGGTAATAATGTAATTATTTAAATAATGAGGTTGGTAGATTCAGAGCCTTCCAAATTATACTTTGGGACTCCAATTACTTAGGATGACCCCCCTTCTACTGAACCATCCAGCTACTGCTGATACATACATATATATATATATACACACTACTCTAAATATATTCTTTTTATAACATGTAAAATAGTTCTAAATAGAAACAAATCATTAAAACAGGATTAGCAATTCCTATTAGCTGAAATAAATTCTCATCTAAAGAGCCGCAGAGGCCCATCTAATCTTTTAGAGCTACTTGGGGATACTGAGGTTGGAAATGCTGAGGTTTTGAAGTGCTTCTTAGCATCTCCTCAAACTGTCCGTGTTCTAAACATTTGTCAGGCTTCCTATGGAGGGACAGTTGAAATACATATGTTTATTCCTGAGCAAGGAAATCACTAGGAGATCCACTATGAAGATGTTTTCTTATGAATTCATTCTTGAGATTTCAATTAAAACTGTATTTGTTAAGCTTCTATTATATACAAAATACTGTACCAGACACAATTCAACACTGCAGGAGTTGACATTCTAGCAAATAGCTGAGAGAGGGGTCAAAAAGCTCAAAACAGAATAAAATAAATAGTTATAAAGGCACTAATGTTCTTCTGGGTTTGATTCAGAACATAGTATTGATTTGTTAAACATTTTGTTGGAAGTTTGCAATGGAATATAAAATGAAAAAGTTCACATTCTATTAGCAACTCAAGAATCTAGAATGCAACATTCAAACCAAAGCCTTTGTGATAAGTTCACATGCAAATTTAGAAATTTGCTAAATCCACTGTAAGCTGAGATTTGAATTCATCACAAAGAAAATAATTTTATTCTTCTAAATGGCTCCCAGTTACTATTGTATACAACAGCCAAACCTAAGAAAAAGGTACAGTTCTTTTTTTAATATTTTTTTTTCATAACTTAAACCTAAGAATTGATCTTTAGATTTTACCCAGAAGTGTCTAAAACTAACTTTTGGTATTTAATAGAGACTCATTCTTTAGATTTGAAAACATGCCATTCCTTGTTCTGTGAAAATCTCAGCCTGTGAATATATTCTAAAATATATAATAAAAATATTTAGCAGAAAGAAAGAAGGAGGGCTATAGGTAATTGTAGTAAAAGAAGAAAGTTTTAATGAGAAAACAACACACAGGTTTTGTCCATCCCAGTCATCAGCACAGGCTGGATGCATCGATGGGTGGGGTGTGGAACAGGTGCTGGGAGCTTGGCATTGGAGTGGCCATGACAAGCCCCCTACACCTGTGATTTCTGCATGTCGCTTACCGGGAGATGGAGAAACCAGGGAGTCTCATTGGGGACAGGAGAGCCTGCATGTTTTTAAGGCAAACACGTCAGGAGTCAATACTGCTGGCCAGACGACCTTCAAGTTCTTGTGCTAGAGTTGCATCTCGGTCGAGGCCCGCAGACTCACGTCTGTTGTACCACTTTCCCGGTGAGTCTTCTAACTATCCTCTGCCTCCGTGAACCCCTAGTTTTCTTAGAGTATGTGGTGAATAAATAAAACCACAGTCCTCCTTTTCCCACTCCCCCACGGATACAGAAATCTGAAAGGAGGAGAAATCTGTGGTCCTCCTCGCCTGATTTCATACCAGACTTTTTAAAAGTTTTGTAAAGAACATGACTCATGGTGACTCACCCTGGATGAGGTGAGTCAACATGATTTAGGATCTACTCACAAGATGCTGTACCACTTTTTAAGAAAAAAAAAGGGCTGAATTTTAAAAGGTTTTCGAGTGTCCTCATTTACAACGGGGTCGGTGGCTCTCCACTATTTCTCACACGTGGACAGGAGCTAGTAAATGCCACCAGAACCCTTAGGACAGGCATCTTACATCCCACAGCTCTGCAAGTCTCTCGGTGTCCCGATTTTACACACTAGGAGACCCAGGCTCATTACAGATGTTTGCTCTTGACCAAGACAGCTCTGCTCATGAAAGTCACAGAGCCGGGTTTCAAACTCCCATCTGGTGTCATTCACCATGACGCTATGTCCCTTAAAAAAGCAAAGCCGAACAAGTGATGTCATTATTAAGAGCGTTCCTAACCACGGCACGGCTGGGACTCTTCCCATGCTGTAACCCGGCCTGGTTTTCTCTCTTCCCCCCATACCTCTCCATAGGCTCGCCTCCCCTTCTCTGCCGGCTGGGGCAAGTTCTATTTCTACTCTCTTCTTTAACGTTTAATTTTTAGATACACTTACTTCGATTAAATGGATTCATACATTACTATGGAGATCCTTAAAAAAAGAACTAGCGTTTTTCAGAGTGCCCTAAACTATAAATGGATTAAAAATAATCAGGCCCTTTTGAATCTATTCTTACGAGTTTCCGATAGTCGTTTGTATGAATGTCACATAAAGACAATTCCTACGGGCGCCTGGGTGGCTCAGTTGGTTAAGCGACTGCCTTCGGCTCAGGTCATGATCCTGGAGTCCCGGGATTGAGTCCCGCATCGGGCTGCCTGCTCAGCGGGGAGTCTGCTTCTCCCTCTCCCGCTCCCCCCTCCTGTGCTCTTTGTCTCTCTCACTCTCTCTCAAATAAATAAATAAAATCTTTAAAAAAAAAAAAAAGACAATTCCTACAAATAACAGTATTTAGCATAATGGAGTGTTCTGTTCTGATTTTTAGCCAAGGTTTCTAAAGACCTTTGCCCTGATTTCACACAGCGATGCCCTCCATCTCTCTGACCTGGTTGAAATAGCATCCTCCATCTTTAAAAACAAGTGCTTCTGTTTAAAAAAAAAAAAAAAAGATTATGCCAGTTGTTTGCAGACCACATAATAAGGATGAATATGTCCATGAACCAGGGATATAAATTTTAAAACAGGATAGCAAAATACTTAATTTAATTCTGTATTTGCAAGTAATTATGCAAACAGTCTCTATTGAATTAAAGAATTCACTTATTAGTTGGAAAAAACACATTAGAGTTTATAAAGTTTCAAAAGAAACCCACTTACTTGTTCAAATTCATTCTTTTGAAATTCCTCAAAACCGAAGATGTCCAATATTCCAATATCCAAAGTCTGTGGGCTGAAAGTAAACAAAGAATCAGTGAGCAAGCATACTTAGACCTGCAAAAATTATGTTATGATCTTCCTAAAGAAATTCTTATAAATACAGGAGAATGAAGAACATGATACTTGGGTGTCAACTTGGAAGCAAGCAATGGGAGTACCTCGTGATACCCCTGCTTTCGATGTAAACTCTCTCTCCTGCCCTCTGCAGCCATCTTGGGAGGTCCGGCCACAGACATGGAACCTCAGAGTGAGTGAGGAAAGGGGGCAGAAAACCCAGAAGGTGGCGGGAGCCCCGACAGCCTGGATTCTGCGGGGAATGGGGGCAGCACGCACGGGGAGAGGGTGTGAGGAGGCTTCTTACAAAGAAAGCCCCAGATGATTCTGGAACGCTGGTCCCCTGGAAGGCGCACACCCAGCCCTCCCACACTGCAGCTCTAGATGCTCAGCAGGACCTGACTCCTGTCCTGATTTTCTGCCAGGGGGGTGATGGTCCGTCGTCATTAAGGATCGTTTCAATACCACTATCCTGGCTGATGCGGACACTTTCGTGGTTTGCTCCCCACTCGTTTGGTCCAAACTGCGCAACTGACATCCAACTCTCTTTTTGTACCTGTATTTGGTGCTCCCTAGCAGTACATTACCATAATATTTTAGGGTCTGTAATATGTCACTCAAATGACCAGTTTCTTTTTAAAAAGGTAATGATTCTATGATATCCCTTCTCTAAGATTACTTCTTGTAGATGGTACAAATAGCTTCCTAAGCAGGAAGGAGAGCATTTTATATATACGTTTCATATACATTTCACATGGCAGAAAATACAAAGCAGCAGAGTCGTCGAGTGGGTGCCACTAGGTAATTGATTTAATTTTTTAGAAGAAAAAATAGTGAGCTTTGTACCTCCCCCTGTATGCCCAAATAAACTCGATATGGATTAGAGAGATAAAATGTTATAGCAAGAAACTATAAAAATGCACAAGAAAACAAATGTGATCATTTTTTCTGCTTTCAGTTCTGAGAGAAATCAAAAGAAAATGTTTCAAAGTATGATGACACAAATACCAAATTCTTTGCAGGATAAGTTGTATAAATAAAACAAAACTATGTGAGGTGAGTATTATTTTAAGATGGAGCACTGGGTGTTATATGAAAACAATGGCTCGTGGATCACCACATCAAAAACTAATGATGTATTGTATGGTGACTAACATAATAAAATAAAAAAAAAATAAAATGTGTTTTCTCATTCAGTTTCATAGATGTTTTCCAATCTGTTGGTCCACGTGTGTCTCCTTCCACCCTGGTGACTTCAATGTGCACAAGGAGATGCCCGGATGATGCTCATCACTTGATAGTGATGGTGCTGAGGTGTAACAAGAGATGTTGTTTTGTTTAGGGTGTGTGTGTTTTCCATTTAATGAGCTGCATTGTTTCTCTTGTAGGAGCTTGGTGACAAAGCTTGTCAGGTTTTGAAGTTGCTCAGTCTCAGGCAGGAATCCTGGTTCAGACACTTTTTAGGTGGACAACTTTGGGCAACTTACTTCAATTTTCTGCATTGCAGTTTCATCATCTATAAAACTGAGACAGCAAGTAATATTTGTCCACCTGGATGGCTGTTACAATTAGAAGTGATTAAAAACAGTGCTAGGACAATCGCTGGTAGACAGTTGCTTGTCTTTCTCCTAAAGATTTTTATTTATTTATTTATTTATTTATTTATTTAATTTTAGAGGAGGGAAGGGGGCTCCATCCCACCACCCTGAGATCATGAGTTGAGCCGAAATGAAAAGTCAGACGCTCAACTGACTGAGCCAGCCAGGGGCCCCTGCAAGTTGCTTGGGCAGATTATAAATGTCAATCTGATTACAGATACTAAACAAATAAAACTTTAAAAAATTAGGATGAGAAAGATATTCCTATACACTTTTTTTGGGAGTTTAAACTGGTAGATTCTTGGGGCACCTGGCTGGCTCAGTCAGTACAGCATGAGACTCTTAATCTCAGGTCATGAGTTCGAGCCCCATGTTGGGGGTAAAGTTTACTTAATTTAAAATAAATAAATAAATAAATAAATAAAATTGGTAGAGTCTTCTTAAAAAACAATTTGGTTATGCAGCAAAAAACTTTGAAAAGTTCATATCATTTGAACCAGTATTTCCATATACAGGAAACTATACTAAAATGATTATCAGAAATGCAATTAAAGACTTACAAACGAGGATGTTCATCCTTATCTTAATTATAGTAACAACAAAAAGAAATAGCAGATATCCCACACTAAAGACATGATTAATTAAATAGCATGCATCCTATGATGGATTACTTTAGTGAATCTATCAAGTTAATAGAATGCAATATGTAAGTTCTATATAAAGAAGAACCCCAATTATATATTCAGAAGACCTCGAAAGAACTATAGTCAGCCCAAGAAGAGGAGACAGAAACGCTTTTGTTTACTTCTTCTTACTGTTCTGTTTTTTTCTAAGGTTTCTGTATTTTTATAACCAGTTAGTATTTAATTGATCTTGATAAAGACGCTGTGACGGCATGGGAAATGTTCTTGAACAACAAAAGCTAAAACTAGCTGAAAACAAAATTTATACCATTTGTACACTGATGGGAACATAGTATAATTGCACCCCTGTTAAAAAATAAACCCACGGCACAGAAAAAAGTAAAGCGCATGTAGGCAGGAGATGCCTTGGATGCTAGATCTAGAGGTGATTTCTTAATTTTAAAGTGTTCTATACTGGGTATTAACCTTTGCTTTTAAAAAATATATGAGGGAACACCTTTTGGGCACTTCCTGAGTTGGTGGGGAAAGGAACAATGACCTCAGGGCAGAGAGAGGAACGTGGAGCCCAGCAGGGAAGGCAGAGAAGGGCGTCTGGTTTTCCTGCAACCCGCGGAGCAGCAGGGACCCCGGGGCTGGGGAGAGAGAGCAGCGTTGTGGCTGAAGGCCATGTGGTGGTGGCCGGTACGGATGTTTCCTGCCAACTTATACCAGAACCTCCCACTCGGACCTTGACTCCTTGCCTGATTCCCAGCCGACCCGGGCAACAGTGGCCCCATACGTATGTCCCATCATGTTGCGGGAAGTTAGGAGAAAGGGCAAGAGCTGTGGGTGACAAGATGTCACTCTACCAGTGTCCTTCCCCTTCTCGTGAGGATGGTGGCTTCGTGTGGCAAGCAGAGGAAGGATGCCAGGCCCCCAGGCGTGTCTGGGCGAGCGCACGTGCTAAATATTCCAGTTCAGACTGGGGAAAGTCCATGATTAATTGGCAATTTAGAATAGCATAAATGTGGTTGAAAGAGCACTCCCTTTTAATGATTTTTCCCCATATTTCACAGATGCTGGATTCCAAACTCTATCTGGTTACAAAATAAAAATGTTTTTAAAGAAAAAGAGGGGAAGAAGAGAAAAACCAATGTCAGGGGGAAAACGAATGAATTTTAAGGATTAATTTTGCAACTATCGACAGATCTGACAGCAGCGATCCTGCTGTCCAGACACCCTGCCCTCGGGGTCAGATGCACTTTCATGGAGGGTACTGGTGCAAAGTCCCTGAAGATGCTGGCCACGCGATGGCCTCCACCAAGTCTAGCACCAACATGCTAAAGAATTTACTTAACGTCATGGGCAAGGTGTCTCATCGTGGAGGCTCATTCTGCCAGTGCCATAGCTTGTCTGAAACTTGCAGGGTTTTCTCGAGGCTGTGAGAAGACACAGAGGGGGCACTCCAGGGTGCATACTTTTGGGAGTTCCTCCCTTTTAGTCTTTGACCGAAGAAAAGTACGTGAGGCTTATCATTTTTTGCAAACATGTCAGAAATTAGGGAAAGAGTTTGCGGTTGCTGACAAGCTGAACTAGAAGCAGGGTGACGGGTGGGGGTGATGTTACCAAAGCAACTGTCCGCCCCCTTCTCACCTAGTGATACCACACACACACCAACGTGGCTCTGAAGCGCAGCCCTTCTTCACGCTCCTTCCCACCGGAAAGAAGTTAGGAAGTAAAAAGCCGAGACCTCTTGAGGTGAGAATTGCAGTTAATGAGCCTGGATATACAAGAAAGACTTGGGGTGAGGGTAAAACTCGGAGCTACCATCTTAGGGAGGAGTGTGTGCCAAGCACCATTAGAACATTTGAAATGCCGTATTTCGTTTAGCCTTAAGAACTACCTTATGCTGTATGTACAATGATCCCCCCCTCCCATTTTACAGAGGAGAACACTGAGCCAGGACAGAGAAGGTTTAGGTTGCCCAAGGGCACACATTGGCACTAGACAGATGCAGGACTGGAACGCAGGCTGTCTAACCCTAGCCCCACACCTGTAAGCCCTGTGAATCACCACCTAAACCCGCTGTCACCTGCTGGTCCGAGAACCAAGTCTAATTCCAGCCCCTGGGAGCCAGGAAAGGAACCCTCTGCAAGCGTATTTAAGAGTAGAAATAATACAAGTTCACTGAAACCCTCCTTATCAGTGAAAGCTCCCACTCACAGCTGAAAAGCATCAACACTTACTACTGTTAATGAACATATGTCCTTCTTTATAAGCTGCATTTGTCACAGTGACACAGATGTATGTTTTGTTACCAGAAGCATTGTTAGAAACAAAAATCAACCTACCATATAATTTACTTAAGACCATAAGTAATAGTTCATATGAACTTTCACATTCCTGGTCTGAAACAATCGTCATATCAGAACAAAAGCAGACAATTTAAGCAAATTATGGCATAGCTGTTCCAAGTATTCAACAGTTATTAAAAGTGATGCTTAGGAAAAACAGAAATATGGATAGATAGTTATAATGAAAAGAGCCAGATAAAAACTATATGTATTGAATATGGAGCGACTAGAACCCTCAGACATTGCTGGGGGTAGCTTACATTTGAAATCTGGAACACGGTTTGGCTTCATCTATTAAAGCTAAATACAAGCCCATTGAATGACCTGCAAGTTCAGCTCGTGGGCACGAATGGGGGGGGGGCGGTGACGAAGGCATGTGTCCAC